GCACATATGCGTTTATGGCAGAACAGGTAATGATTTGCCACTGGGGTTTTTTAAGGTAGACTCAAAGTTTGGACAAACAGGGGCAGGTTACTGCAATTACATTGATTAGATTGCTGGGGAAGTTTGCTATCCTGTAGTAGGTACTGCTGAGCCATGAAAGCCACAGAACAAAAGGATTTGAGCTTGTTACACGAGGCACTCTTGTAAGGGGGCTTCCATCAGTAGGAAAACTCTATCATTGGAGAAAAGATGCAACATGATGGAATAACTGTGTTACTGCAGGCAATTCCTGTGACAGCAGGAGGGAAGGAGAAAGGGCAGCAGAATTTCTTGCCTGTTCTGCTCTCCGGTCTTCTCGTCAGGACTCTTTTTCTCCCATTAGCAGATGGCACTGAAATGCAGCCAGTCAGGGAGGCTGCCTTTTATCCCCAAGGGTTAAGGTCATATGAGCTATTTATTAGTGCTTAGTAACAGAATCCTGCACAGCAAGTTGCACAGTTCTTCCTGATGAAATAATTACCTACTAGGCATCGGTTTGATAGCAGAGAAGGAAAAGGTTTACTTCTAGGTGGAGTGGAGGACATGGGGAGCACTGCCTTTCTGCCAAACACAGGGAACAGCTCCACCTAGCCCCAGGTAAAACGTACCCAGCAAATGACACTCCGCAGTCTACCGTGAAGAAATACGCAGCAAATGAACCCAGTGAATTCTGATGTTTCCAGCAAAGATCAAATTAAATCCTTTGTAATTTTTCTAGACTCAGAGGTACAGTCTAAAAAGCTTCTGTATTTGTTGCTTGCATTCAATTCTAAATTGAAATCACCAAACTCTGTGGCTGCCATAGCTGTAAGAGCAACGGAACTGTCCTCAGGAAGAAGCTTTATGAGTAGCCTCTGTGGGAAAACCTGAAGTGGTTTGTTTTTATTTTACTTAATGCTGACGAAGAATGTCTGCTTCTTTGAATAGCCCAACTAGTTTTCTCTCATTTTCATTTAACAAATCCAACTCTCCTGGTGAAATGGAGGATTCATCCAGGAACTTATCCCGAGTTCAAGTCTTCCCTAACACCTGACACCTTCTGTCTGAAACTTTAAAAGGAAGACACGTCCCCCTAAATGTTAGTAGGTGGTTGTAATATGAAACAGAGTTTTCAAATAGTTGGAAGGAAATAAAAATGTGATAGAGTTGGAAAGTATTGGGAATTTTTCAGCTCTGCATCTCCAGCCATATATGTACTTGAAGCAGGAAATCATTACTGTTAAAACTTGGATTCCTCTTGACAAACAAAAAAGTTACAGCTCCTCTCAGCTCAGGCCCTTCAAACAGCCCAAAAGTGAAAACTTCACTTTTGCTAATCAGGCCATAAATGAAAGGCTATTGAAAAGGTTATATACACAGCTGTATTTGTCTCTGCAAACCATTTATACAACAACATTACCTTTCACTTTGAATTATACACTCTTTATAGACTGAACTCCGACAGCTTAACAAATTCTATTCCCTAGAAGATTATACTGGAAGTTCCAAAACCAAAGTTCTGCCAAAATGAATACAGCAGTGACTGGAAGGGCCTACATGGGTACAGCTGGCTCTAAGACCTGATGCATTTGCAGGTCTTTTTTGCTTTGACCCTTATGGATTAGGTTTTTCTTCTTGACCAATACAACTATCTTAGTGTAAGCCCTGATATAGGATGAATTTATCAACATTTAATTCCCAACACAATAGTTATCACACTGCTTCTAATTCCAAAACATCAATATTATTGCATTACTTGGATACACTCCGATAGTATTTAAAGCTAAAGCTTGAGGGATACAAAAATTATAAGGATATTCACTTGGTAAAGGGCTATGAATAAAAGTCCTTGTGAGGTTAGCCAGACAGAGCTTTTCATGGAGATACTAGCACATATGACACTGTATCTGCACACCTTTACTCAAAAATCACTAAGAACCTCAAGGAAAGCGATATAAACTAACCTGCACGCACGGTTCTCTTCCAAACGTGTAAGCTCAGTTCCTGTGGATTTTTTTTATTCACATTAATTAGTCTCTATCCCACAAGACAATCTTTATTCACTACTCTCACAGTCCTGTTTAAAGCGCGGGATGGGCAGAAACAGCAAACTTACACTAGTGCCTGTTTCTCTCCAATCCCAAGTCCGACTTCCTCCCGGCCACACTTTGCAGTCCTTGTATGTCGTAGAGCAGCCTTTCACCTTCATCTGCCCCCAGGAAAGGGAAGCAATTTCAGGGGAAGACATTGCTGAGTTGAACCAAAGTCTGAAAAGTAGATATTTGATGCATAACATCAGGCCAATGTGCACATCTAAGTATTGTCATTGCCTCAAGCAGCTGAGAAGAAACCCCCGTGACAGACTTGATCCGTGTCATTTTGTGGCACCAGAACTGAATGACGGATCAGATCTGTTGAATTACCAGCTGTCCTCCTGAGGGTTCTGGTAGGATTCTGAGCAAATCATTCTACAAATCAACTTTCAAAACAATCCACAGGGTTGAGGTGCCTGAGTATTCTTTCAAATCAGGGTTTTAATCTTTTCCCTTAGGATACAACAAAATCTCTGATACATACACTGTTTCTTTGGCCCTCTAAACCATACTTACGTACAGGCTTATTAATTTAAATTAATAAGGTTAAAACAAACAATCAAACATGCTGTTGCTTTCTTAGCCTTAGCAGGAAGCGAGAAGATTTGGATCTTGAACAGGGAGTTTAAACTAAAGGATTTTTTTTTGACCTGTGCACTTTTCTTGCTAAAAGGCAACACCCAGCAGAAAACAAAACAATGGCATTCCCACTTGCTGTAGCAAAAGACTTTCAGACCCAAAGGATGAAGCCTTCTCTCCCATGGCATTCCTTACAGACACCAAGTCTCCCCGTGTCACTTCTCAGGATAAGTTAAGCACACAAATAATGTCTTTTTTCATACCTCAGTCCTCATTGTTTCAGATTAAAGCAATCAATCATTTCCAAACATTTTTGTCGTAGACAAGGAAAACAGCTTAGTCTTTGTCTTTTCCACCATCTTTTGCTTTCCTGAAGACTTAAGATAACCATCCTTGAGTCTTTTTTTCTCCCTTTCTTTTAGGTTAAATAAATCTCTGTTCCCTTTGGCCTTTCCATCAGTCGCATTTTCTAAATCTCTGCTTATTTTCTCATTTTCCCCCTCCTGACAACCAGCAATAGGTATGCATCTTCCTTTGAAGTCTGTTGCCTAAAACCAGTGAGAGTGCTCCAGCTGAGGCCTTATCAGAGCTGCTATAGAGCAACTGCTTTCTGGTATTAACCACAGTCATTTTCAGACCAGCTATCACAGTCACAGCTGGGCATCAGCACGACAGAGACTGTGCCTTAGAAAGCATCGTCTCACTGCACCATGGGAGTTTACACCCTTTTCTCAGCCCTTCAAGGAACTGCAGTCTGGTTGCTGATGGGATTCTGGCACTGGATGGCAAGACACAAATCAGAGGTACCTTGGAAATGCTTTAGATTAGCACAGCTGCCAGCTGCTGCGTCTGGAAGGTAATGGCCTTCTGAACTGTAAGGGCAGAAGAAGATGGTGTGAAACTTGCATGACAAAGATGGAAGGTTTCTGCAGCAAAACTGTGCTCATGGCTCATCCAGAAACCCTCAGCAGCAGATCCTTCCAGGCATCCAAATTCTCAGAATCCCGGTGGCACCCATTAAAGGAAGAGCCCTCAGCAAAGAGAAATCTTTGGACTGTCTTCCTATGCTGCACGCGCTACCACAAGCGGCAGCACGACGTGACATCCATCTCAGTGCCCTGCTTCTAGCAGCACATGAAGGGAAAGCAGCATTACTTTGGATTCAGCGCAGCTCTGAGGCTGCCAGAGAATTGCACAGAGGGCAATTATTCCTTCGCTGCTTTGTGAGTTAGTGAGACAGGTGCTCTGCCAAAGAGGAAGCCAGGCATGCAGCTACAGGGCAGTGCAATTTGCCCAGGTTAATACGTTCTTGATTTGTTCCTCACTCATCTGCAATGCGATGGGTTCACACAAAGGTTCATTGGACCACCTTCCCAACAGCGTGGTGAAATAAGATGACAGCGCTGCTCCCGACTGAGACAAGCTGCCCATTAACTGAGGGGAAAGGCAGAACCGACCACCCAGAAGTGGCAGGAGCTGAGACAGACCTCAAAGCCATCAAATATGATCCAGAGAGCAAAAATATTTCCACAGCACTGACAGGGAGCATCGACAAAGTGTGAAGGAAAGCATGTGAAACCAAAGCGAGGAAGAATGAACTTCTTAATGTGGCCTTTGGACATTCTTCGCAGAGGGCACAGTCCAATCACCAACCAGCAAGGATCGGAAAGGATTTCCTCAACAAATATTGGCTTTTAATTATATGCTATGGTATCTACCGCAATGTGCACCGAAAAATCTGGAGGTATCACGTGATAAAAGCTACGAAGGGGAGAGAGCTCCTGATACCCCACGGGAACGCTATTTGAGCGGCAAGGCCTAAGCTCCCAGCGTTCGGAGGGCAGCCCTTCAGGTCCGGGCTCTCCCTCTGCCCCGCGGCCGCCGCTGCCCGCCCGTTCCCGCCCGTCCCCTCAGCTCTCGTGGAGCCGTTACGACCGTTACGCGCCACACTCACCCGCCACCCGCGCGACCCCGACCCCAAAAACCGCCACCTCGGCCTCACGCGGGTGGGGAGCGCCAAGCCCCGCCTACCGCCCCCTCATTGGCCAACGTCGCCTCCCGGCTCCACCCCCTCTCCGCAGTGCTGTCGTTCCGCCTTCTCCCATTGGCCGCGGCGCCCTGAGGCCCCGCCTCCTTATAAATAGCCCCTCCGCCCTCCTTGCGCCCCGCCTTGTTTTCATTCCCGTGCCGCACGCGGAGGAGAGGAGCCGCCCGGAGACGCTCTGGCCGACGCCTCCCCATCTCCCCGCCTCTCGCGGTGCACTGTGGGATCGTGGCGGCGCGCAGCTCGGCAGCGCCCCCTCCCTCCCCGCCCCCTCCTCAGCTCCTTCTCCATCCCCGGGTCCAAGATGGCGGCGGCGGCTCCTCCGGCTCCATCGCCGCCTCCCCCTCCTCCCGCCGGCCCGTGCTGCCCGGGCTCTTGGCCTAACTTCGCCGTCGTTTGCTCTTTCCTCGAACGCTACGGTGCTTTGCTGGATCTCCCCGAGCTGCCTTTCCCCGATCTGGAGCGCGTCCTACAGCCTCCACAGGAACCTGGAGACCAGGGTGAGCGGCCTGGGGGTCCCTTCCCTCAGCTCTCCCCTCCCCTTTCCCCTTCCATCCTTCGTCCCCGCGCCTCAGGGAAGGGGCAGGCCGCGCTGTGAGGGGCTCTAGGGCTGTGTGTATTGGGGGGGGGAGGGGGCCGGGGCTGTTCCCCCCCCGCCTCCTCCCAGCCCCGGGGGTGGAGCGCGCTGAGGGAGAGGAGGGGCCTGGGATTCCCGGAGTGAAGCCTCGGGGTGTGGGGGGGGAAGGATGGAGCCTCCCGATGCCTCTTTCGCCCCCCCTCATATAGGGGTAGTTGTTGGATGTGGAGGGTGCTGCCTTTCTGCCCCCCCCAACCCTTCAGTGAGGCGTTGGAAGGTGGTGGCCCCCCTCAGTGCTGTGTTCTCCTCCATCAGTTCCTTGTTATTTAAGCTTATCTTAAATAACTATTTGTTTGTTTGTTTGCTTGTTTGTTTAGGCCAATGGTGGCAGCATCTAGTCTTCTCCCCCTCCCTCCTTCTCACTGCTTGAGGGTTGCCACTTTGCCTCTCCCCTCTCCTTACTCCCCAAGCCTGCGTCCCTTTCTACTTCTTCCCTAAACCAAAAAGAGTGCGGAGTGGTAGTGGGCAGTTCTCTCTGCCTCTCCCGTTCTCCCCCCTTTTTCCTTTCTCCTCTACATGGGGTGGAGAATGAAGAGGGGTCTGCTCCCTGATCTGTGTACTTGGGGGGGGGGGGGGGGGGGGGGCACGCAGAACTCCCCCCCCCACCCCCCCTTCCAGCGCTGCTATTGTGGGTGATCTCCTCCTCCTCCCACCCCCCCCCTCCCCCCCCCACACAGCCATTGTGCTGTGCTCCATCCTTTCCTTCCCCCCCCCCCCTTTCCTCCTCCTCCTCCTCCTCCTCCTCTCACAGCTGGGATGGTGGCTCTGAGCTTCTTCCTTGCTCACCCCCAGTGACACCCCCTGAGTTGGCAGAGACAGGGGATGTCCTGCCTGCTTCTCCTCTCCTTTCCCTTCAGCACACCAAGGGTTAGGTTGCCAGACCCTGATCTCCCTGTGATGGCTGCAGGAGGGCCTTGGGCAGCAGCGCGGGGGCCTAGGGGAGGGATGCCAGCAGGGATTCGGAGGGGAAGGTGCTTGTTGCTCTCTGCCTTGATTATTGGTTTGCTTGTTGCCTCTGCACTCTTGCCACATAGGGAGACTGCCGGGCTCACAGCGCATGCTCGGCAGGCCCCATAGAAACTTCCTGCTGCTGGAGAATCCCAGCCCAGGGCTGCTTTGGGGCCAAAAAGAACGCCTTTCCCCCCAGATCTGACTCCTTCCTTGTCATACAACCCTGGAATGAAATTGGTTTTCTTTATGTAAAGTGCACGCATCCTATCTGTGAGTTCATCCCAGCCAAAATGTAATGCAGTTCATTTACTGCTCCTTGTGCTGTCCTGTACCTAATGAATATGAAAAGAAAAAGTGGGATCCAAAAATAGGGTTAACTTATGGAAACACAGGTGTTTATTTTAAATTTCCCTTGCATTCCTCTGCCTGTTACATAAAAGGTAGTTCACAGAAGTATTGTTCTGTTCAAGTTTTGCTGAACTTGTGAATAAAAGCCACTGTTATGCTTAAAGTTTGAATATGTAATGAAAATATCAATTTGAAATAATGTCTGTAAAGATAACGAAGCTTAATGTGTGAAAAAATGTCAATTATCATGTGACTTTTCTTGTGTGCAGACTGCAGAATAAAGTAAAATTAAAGGTTGAGGTAGTGAGCTGTGTTCTAAATGTATATATTTGATAAAAATATTTCAGTTCCTGATGTGTTTGGGGGGGCATGAATAGAAAGACAACTCAGCTTTTCTCTTGAGTAGCTGCTGAATGAAGTTCATGGTAGGGGTGAGTTATGGATGTTATGGGTGCCAACTCTTTGCTTTTCTCTTGAATGGGGGAACATGGCTGGTAGCTGCTGGCCACAGTATTTTAAGCTTTTGGAAAAACAGTTGCAGAGACTGCATTTCTCTGTGTGATTTTGACAGGTCAGTTCCCCAAGTGCTTTTCTCTGATGTGTGTAAGTCAGAAAGTTGCTAAGCGTTGTTTGAAAACTGAAGAAATGTTCTCCTGAGCATCCGTTGCACCAAGAGTGTGTAGTTTTTCTTTGGAGAACAAAAGAGGTTTGCAGTTCAGTTGTATGCAATTTCATTTTTGCTACCAAGTGGACAGTGGACTTACATTGACAGAAATATATGTATTAAAAAAAGTAAACAAATAGCCACAAAACTTCAGGGTGTTTTTCTTCTAAGCTTAGAATCTTGAATGGGCTTTAAATCCCAGCTTGCAGGTAATGTCTCTGAGGAGCTTCTCTCCACGTTCATTTTGTGACGAGGGAGAGAAGTGAATAGTTTGGGGTGCACAGTGGTTAGAGCTCATGGTTTTCTGATGGTCAGCTGCTCCATAAGTTTGTGTTTGATTCTTTTTTTTAGTTCACGTCTGCAGAGTTAATGTTGGAAGATGTCAGTGTAACTTCTAACCACGCACCTCAAGGAGCTCAAGTTTGAGCATTGTTCATTAGCTGTATAACAGCCTTACATTTTCCTGTTAATAATGAACAAGCTCTTTGTTCTAATTGCTAAAGAAACAAGGTGTAACCTTCTGCAGGAAGGGATGCTGCATGGATGTAGAGCTGGCATTACAGCTAGGAAGAGGGCAGATCTTTCTGATAGGACTCTGAGATTTCATTCACGCTCGGTGTTTGAGCTGTGCCGTATTACCTCTGCTACAGTGACAACAGTGCTGGAGGATGAGTGGATTTCCTCAGTTGTTTGGCTTGCTTGGATATTAACTGTGTGGGCAGAAGCATGGTCTTGTCAAAACTTACAAACCATCTTATAAGATGTGCTTTGGGATCTGGTGGGCAGCATAAATCGTGCCTGAATAGCAAAATGGTGACGTGACGTTGGTTTTGCTCGTCGTCGTTGGGTGGTCTTATGGGGTGGGATGAATGTGTGCGTGTGGAAGCAGCCTTCAGAAATCCGGACAACACAGGAGCTCAACTGATGCTGGTGGTTCATTTGTAGGACGTGACTGTTCAATTAAAGTCATGAGACTATGGTCATTTAGTGAATAATTTGCTGTAGGAAGAATAATGATCTTGCCCTTAAAAATCGTAGTTCTTGCTTTGTAGACAATATCAAGGCTTGGGTTACAGTTACAACAGTCTTCAGCTTCTTTGGAAATGAAGAAAGTTGATTGTTTCTTCGGTTTGTGGCACTGCTCTCTTAAATGCTTGCTAATTGACATGCCTCACAGTAAATTGTTTCTTAGGATTTAGTGAGGGATTCAGTGTATTATTTTAACTCTGAAGTATGAGCACTGAGCTGTCGTTACCCCCCGTATTACAGTACTTTTAGATGCAGAACTAATCCTAATAAGGTGGTTCTAGGATGTGGGGTAGTACCTTATCCCTGTATCTGCTTGCTCACAAGAGCAAAACTGCACATTGGACCAAATACTGGCAGTAAAACAATAGTTGTTCTCATGAACACACTTAGGACGTTTTACGAGGAGCTTTAATTGTAACAGAAGAACAGTTCAATATTTTAATATATATGATGAAGGGGAGTAAGGACTATATCTGCATTTGGGGCTGTGTTTAAGGAACCATGATATCAAATCACCACCTCCTTTGTGTTTGTAAATAGCTTGAGAATTGGTGTAAATGTTAATTAAGCACTTTGTCTCTCGTGAATGGAAATATTAGTAGAACGTTAGCTTGCACAACAGAGATGTAATTTTACACATGACTACTCAAAAGGCTTGCTGGTGTGCCAGGTTCCCTAGTGCATGAATGGGAGAACTTCTCACTGAGGTGAATGGCTTTTCCCAAAGCCTCTTAGGCTCTGTTAGCTCCCCAGTTTTTGCAGGCTTTTCTTAGCACTGTGGGCTTTCAGTTGTTGTTGATAGAATGGTAACAAGTCTGCATGCCTGTGTATTCCAGCAAAGCAGCATCAGAGTCTTCCCAGCAATGATCAAGCTAAAGGTGATCTTGAGAACAGCAAAAAGAGAATGTCTTGGATCTCCGTAGATCCTTGGCAGTCTCCTCCTGATAGATTGAGCCAGCCTTGATGTTTGTCTCTTCATTACCAACCAAATGTGTTGAGTTTGGAGTTTGATAATAACAGCGCTCTTTGTGTGCTGGCTCAGATTTCAGTGGTGTAAAGAGGTGCAGTGAGACGCAGGTGCTCCATAGTAGGTTCTTTTTAGTAAATCTTTCCTCCCCCTGTTTAGCTTTGTAATGGGAGCTGAGGTTAGAGGCAGTGGGAAACCCGTGCAAGTCATTTATGGCTTCTTTAAATTTTTTAAAGTATACCTGATACCACATTGTGGAACTCAAAGTATGTTTTCCTTGGAGCTACCATGCTTCAGATCAGTAAGTTAAGCTTTACAAGCTGCTTTATTTTTCTACGTCTCCTAGACATCTTGCATCTTTTCTCTTTTTCTGAGGACGTTGGAGGCTGAAGCCCTTTGTTTCAGTGGATTATGTCAGTTTTCCTATTGTCATCCCAATAGCTTTGGAAAGCTTTACTGCTTTAAGCTTAATGGTTCTCACCACCCTCTGAAGAAATTAACGGTGTTTTATATGGCTGCTGAGTACTTGTATGGGAGAAGCATACCTGGAGCTCTGTGCCTGTTTAATACAGCAAACAAAAGCCAACAAGACCTGATGACTAGGAGTCTAACAGACTTTCATGCTCAAGAATAGGAGTGTTCATTTTAAGAAGAAAACGTTCTGTTGGTGTGATTGTTTCTGTTTAATAGTTGAGACCAAGCCTGTCTGTACAGTGTTGATCAGAAGTTATGAGGTTTGATGTGACTTCAGACAGAAGTCATGATAGACTGCATAGCCTTCAAAATCCACGGAGGATTGTTTAATGTTTAAAGGAGAAAATAAATGTGATATGGAAGTAGTCAAATGCTAATTGAGTGGCTAATATGGTGCTTAAAACCTTCTGTCTGATTTCAGTGCAGAAAG